GGGGGGCGGACCGAGACTCTCCCCTTTCGTGTCTATACATAATCTGTAGTAACGTCCCCGAGGTCTCTCTTGTATCCGGAGATGCAAGGCTGCAGGTAGGTCCGTGCTGGTTAGGCTGCTGCGGGTGTGTGACGGGAGAACAAGTGTTCAGGGTGAGCCTGGGCCTTTAGCATCGAGGGATGGAGGGATGGAGGGTCCACATTCACCAACAATATCCACGTGTGTCTCGACTAAATTGCTCAGACACCGCTACCCCCCCAAAAAAAACATTCAAGGCTCATTTTCCATGCTCAATAACCTTAACCCATTCTAGATATATATATTTATCTTTTTTTTTTTACGAATAGACACCGAGCTGGGGTTTTGTGAACAGAAATGGCAGCCACTTGTATTTTTTGCTATTTCTTTTTTGTTTTTTTACTCTCGATAGCTCCGTTTTGCTTTGTCCTTGGCATCGAGTACCAGAAGTTAAAATAAATGTTAATGTGTTTAACAATAAACTGTTTTAAAAACATACTCGTTAGATTCCCGCCCCTAACCCCCCCCACCCCTCCCGCCCCTTATTGTCCTAGAATTGAACAATCACCATTTATACAAGTCAGTTCTGAAAATACAATGGCAAGTGACACTTTCCACTAAAATCTCATTGTGAAAAACAAAAAATATATATATACCCCCCCCCCCCCCCCCATCTGATTTGTTCAGCTTATCAAATGCTATGACTGTGTTTTTCTCCGTCGCGTCGTACCAACATTCACCGATTTCGATATTGTAGAAGCTTTACAAAGACATAAATATAGTAGGATACAATACAGTAAAAAATAGAAAATAAAGTCGATATAGTTTTTTTTACTTAAATGATAATTTACCAGAGGCAAACCCAGAAACGGATCTTTGACACTAGGCAAACAAACAAACACACACTAGAATTACCCCCTGAGGTCAAATGATAAAAGAATAGCCAAGTGTGGAACCAGAGCTCGGTCCCAGATAACGCACTACTTCCAGGAAGTAGCGCGCTACGTGCAGGACTATAGGCAAAATGTGGGTGTCCTGCGCGACACACAGTCAACGTGTGCTACTCAAGTGCACTCGTTTGGGTGTTATTACTATACCAGCGAGACGTTAAGCTGAGGAGAACTTGAAGGCACAATTATTTGAGGCAGAATATGCCTCGAGAATCAAACAACGGCTGTAAGAGGAGATGCCCTTATGATGAGTAGTTCTCTTGAATACCTATGTTGAATACACTTATTGTACGTCGCATTGGATAAAAGCATCTGCTAAATGACTGTAATGTAATGTTGTAGTATCAAGGGGGTACGATTCGAAAAAGAAGGGGAAAATAACAGTTTACAGTTTCAGGTATGGTTTAGGTCTGAGAACGACGAGGCAGTGAATCAAGTTAAGGCCAAATTACTTGGGATCGTCCAATCAGAACGCTCCAACAGTAAAGATGATGTTGGACCTGACAAATCACACCGATTTGCAATACGATATCAGTTTTAATACCAGAACTCCTTTTTGTATTTTGTCTTAGCCTGGCTCACTACATAGATATTTCTTCTCACGATTAAGTCAATTATATTAAACAAGGCTTCTTATTCTTCTTCTTGCTCTTCTCTCAGAGGTTGTTATTATGCACAATAATGTATGTTACAAGAATATACATTAGCTTTAGTCTATAATATCTCAGTAAGGAGTACATCCAAGCATTCAGGGTGAGGACTTTGGCTTTGAAAAGTTAGTCTACATATGCACAGATATGAAACACACGTAGAAAATGCACCATAGAAAAAAAAAAAAAAAAAAAAAGGACGAGGGAAAGAAAAAAAACGGAAATGGACTAAATGGCTCATGCTGATCTACTGTCACGTATGACCATTTGCTCACAAACAACCATTTCCTCTAAAAAAGAAAAAAAAAAAGAAAAATCTAAAAAGTTTTCAAGTTTTAACCTTTTCACACCAATCACATGACCTGCGATCACAGACGTGTTGAGGGTCGAAAAGCAACAAGAAATTGAAAGTAAAAGAGTTTGGAGGGCTTCAAGGGGTAAAGTTCAAGTTTGTCATTCCTCATGTGCAAGTCAATATAAAAATGCTACAACTCGTACAACTCTTGTCAACAAGATAGGTTCAGGGCAGGCCAAGTCCCCCCCTGTAGTTTGCTAAATAAAAGGGGCTTGGAAATTGGCAGGACAGCTTGCGCAAACATTGACGCAACACGCAGTCTCCACTCCCTGTAGGTCTGGTTTATTTCCCCCTCCGGCTCTTCACCTCCTCCGTCGATCTGTTCACGTGAAGGAGGAGCAACCGTGGGAGTCTGTATCATCACTTCAAGAGCCAAAACAAACATCTCCATCCTTTTGTCTCTCCTATGGCAGAAGAGTCATCTGAAACGTCCTTCCTCACTCTTTTCCTTCCGATGACTTCGGCTCAGGTCGGCCACCCCGTTCCGCTTCTCTCTCCCTCCGCGTGTCCCTCACTCGCTGTCAGTCTCTAGGTCGGAGTCGGACCACTGCACTGGGCTCAGTTTGCCGTGGCGCTGGGCGTACTCGATGACCGCCGTGTAGCAGAAGTAGTACTGGTCCCAGGTCTGGATGCTGAACGCCCGCTGCGTGCGCATGCGCTGCACAGTCTGACGGACATCGACCGTGGCGATGTCCTCCAGCCGGGACAGGCAGATGTCCAGGGTGCAGAATGTGCCTGGTCGGGGAGCATAGGTGGACAGAAAGAAGACAGACAGGTTACACAAGAAGAAGTAACTCGTACTAAAGCTGGTGATACACTACAATTACCGCCTCTGCCAACCAGTCATGTTACAGCTAAAATGTCTTCACTTCATCCTTTTAGACATTTGTGTGATATTGTCACCATAAGAATATGAATCTTGAGTTATGGCCATAAACTTGTTCTCTGAGATCACAGTGACTTCTGACCACCAAATTAAAAAAAAAAAAGTGTTTCTTGTTATACAGCAACACTGTATGCCAACATAGTCACATACCTCACAGTAACAAGGTCTTTGCATAAACACAACGGTATATCTCGACCCCACAGTGGTACATTTTTGTTTACCTGTGCGGCCAATGCCGGCACTGCAGTGCACAACCACGGGGGGGCCCCCTGGAGGCCCCGTCCAACTGGAGCCCAAGCTCTGGACTGCAGCCTCCCTCCTCTGAAGCACGTGCTCACGGAAGTCCAACATGGCAGAAGCACATTTGGGCACGCCGAAGTCTGGCCAGCTGACGTAGAGGTAGTGGCACACCTCCCGTCTCTCTCCAGACTGAGGAGAAGTCACAGAGGTTCACGGAAGAAAGAACAGCAAGATATCAGACTCTTTTGTAGCGGCATGTACGAGCATGAGGGACAATATCCACGCCAAGTAATATTCTTAAATGACATGGAAGGAATTGGTGGGTAAAAACTGAATAGATCCACCTGACAAAGCCACCCAACAACCTGGAGTTCTCTTTTATTCAAATGTTTAAAACCTCTGAAGCCAATAAAGATACTTTTTATTTCACCATCTCAAATGAACACACAGATTTTTTTTAAAGTCCTTATGCAGTTGGTGTGACTTACCTGTGTGTTGTAAAGTTCAAGATGGGAGAGCTTGAAGTCCTGGAAGGCCTGGATGTGCGTGTTCCTGACCAGGAAGTATCCGTGCTGCTCGGTCCGGCCCTCCTCCAGAGGCCAGTACTGACCACACTTGACTCGGCCGCGCTCCACCACCCTGAGACGCACAGAACCACACGGCGTTTTGAGGAACTGTTGTCACTTGGGCTACCACTTCTGACACTGAAGTGACTCGGACGTAAAAAGAGTCTCACCTGGTGGTCATGACAATGATGAGTACCATCTGTTCCCACACCATGCGCCAGAAGTCACCAAACGTTTTTGGCAAAGGACCTGAAGGACACAAGAGAGTGGGCTTAGAGCAGAAAAAAGTGATTATTGCATGGACGACAATAAACAATGGGACCGTAGGTTTTTTTGTCAACAGTTGCTCACCCTGAGTTGCAATGTAGGCGTTGCTCCTCTTGTACCCGTCCATGAAACTGGCGTTGATGTAATCTGATGTCTGCAAAACACACAGCAGAAAAAAAATGGGTGAGACTCAGAGGTTGGTGCTCGGATCGACTGGCTCCCGTAGGACGACATTGAACATTACTATCAGGGGTGCAACGGATTGCGGTCACGGATCATCAATGAAAAAAGGGAGCGTATATATAACTTTTACAGATGCTCTTATTACGTTTTTCTTCCGGCGGATACAGTTTTTGTTGTCGTTTTGTTTTGTTATAGCAGCTGGTTTAACAAGGCCATTGACAATTGTTTTTCACCACTGTCCCAAAAAATGATTTCAACTACCACAACAGATTGTTTTTATTGATGCATTAGTAGTTTTGATGTATTATAAGCAGCTAGTGTTAGGAAGTTTAACGTCTCATAATTCTTTCTCTAATATCTATTTTATATTGCTGTGAAAACAACTTGGTTTATTCAAGTTTCTCACCAAAAACTACATTTTACAAGATTGCATTTGAACACATGATAATGTTATAATTTACCTTTGCCCAATACTCAATTTTACTGAATAGAGAATAAACACATCATGATGTAACTCAACAGAACCTCCGTAAGTTAGCAGTTAGCTCTGGTGCTGCTAACGTTACTAGCGCTCCTGCTCCTTCAACACAGATTTGTTGAACGGTCACAATGTAGCATTCTGAGAGATCAGCGACGGGAGCCGTACGGATCACTGATCAGCTACAGTCCCTTACACGGCTCATTCCTATTGGCCTATTTTAGACCAGTCACTTAGTTGCAGTAAGCTGGAGTCACATAAAAATGTCAATAGGTAAAAATAACATAAAATGAATCTAGAGCTGATTCAGTCAATCTTAACATTCTTTAGCTATTGAGATTAATTTAGTTGCCAAGAACAACAACAACATGTGCTCTAAAGCCAGACCACTTCTCTTATTTTGTCTGAGGGACTTTTTACAACCTGGTTTGATTCTATTCGTTTTTTGGCCATTATTACAATAACATTGTACTCATTTTACAAAAATAAGACACAGGTTGCCAAAAAAAACAAAAAAAAAAAAAAACAGGCCTTTCCTGTTAACCACATAATACGATACAATCAAGCATTCCACCTTCCAATCCCGCACATAGATACAGCAGATTAGGACGAAGAAATCACAAAGAGACCCAAACGCTCCAACATTTATATTTACCGCTGATCTTTTGCTCATACACTCAGTGCCCACCACTAATTACATCCAATATAAAAACATTACAGTCTCTGATTTGTTACTAAAACATACTTCTTATGAGAAGGTGGAACAGAGGCCTGATGTTGGCAGCAAAGTCACAATGCAAACATTCCTAAAATCATCCGTCATCAACAAAGTAACAGCTTATAGAGAAACTTTGTGAACACAATGAATCTGGAGATCACTGAAATCAGAGAGGGCGCAGTAAAGTTGGATGAATTGGTAAATACCTCGTCCTCTTCATCACAGAGCTGGCAGAGTCGCACCCGTGACTGGTCCAGGCAGAGGACATCGCTGTACCGGTTCTTTATCTGATTGGACAGTTTCCTGTAAAAGGCAGAATTGAATACAATGGTGATGTGAGAGATGTTAAACAGTGGGCTGATGTGTTATCTGTCACGTACATTTCCTTCGCTTTGGTACGGAGACTGAAAATAAAGCACACAGAAGAAAAAATGAATGTCTTTATCTCTTACTTGGAGTAGTCAAAGGTGCCGGCTGGTGGCTCCTTCCGGATCTCCTCGTACTCCTGATAAATCCCCTTCTTCTTCTTTCTCTTCACGTACTCCACTAGATCGTGCACAGTCATGCCCCCCTGCTCTGGCACGTGAATAGATGCCTCCACGCAGCTGTCCTCGTCATCAGGGCCCCACGACGAAGACAGGGGCGGGGACTGGGACGACAGCTGGTGCGGCGGGCGAGGCAACGACTTCTGGGGCAACGGAGGCACCCCTTCTTCTTCTTCTTCTTCCTCCTCCTCCTCCTCCTCATCATCCTCATCCTCCTCCTCCTCCTCTTCGCTCTCCTCCTCTTCCTCTTCCTCCCTGGCGTCGTCACTCAGAGACCCGCGGGCGGAGTCTGTTACCTTCCCGTCCATGGTGTCGTCGTCTCCTACCTGGGAGAGAGGCGTCTCGGGGGGCGTGTCAGACTGGGGAGGGGCTTGGCGACCTCGGCCGTTCATGTTGGCGTTGGGACTCGAGCTGCCGACGGCCACGCTGGCCCCGCTCACCGCTGAGCCGTTCCAGTGTTGGTGGTTCCCCTGCGGCTTGTTGGCAGCAGACTGTGGGCTCGGTTGGTACTGACCTAGGTCTTGAGTCCTGCCCTCAGACACACCGCAGTGGTTGTGCGAGTTGGCATTGCTGTCATCAAAGCAGTTTGAGTTAGCCCCGGCTAACATGGAACCCAGCTGCGTGCCGATGTGGCCATGGGGCGGTGTGGCACCTGCGCTCACGTTGCTGCACTCTAAGCTGTAGGAGCGCAGCAGGCTTCCCACGCAGTCGTGCGTGTCGTGCTCTTGTGTGTCGCCCGGAACAGTGTTTGTGTGCGCGTTGACGCACGACTGGATCCAAGCCACATGGCTGTACTGGGATGTCCCGTCCAGGTGCTCGGGGAGGGAGGAGACTGGGATGTGACTGGCCAGCTCGTGAGCTTTCACTGTGCACACCTGGCGGATGGGGAAGAGAGAAAGCGCTTTTCAAATGACGACCAAACGTCATCACGACATGACGAAATTCATACGGAAAACAAACACACATACCCTCTCTCTCAGCTTCTCGCGCACAAACAGGCGGAGGACCGCGAATGGGGCTCGGAACCATAGAGGCGACGATACAATGAAGACACATTTTAGACGAGCTGGAAATGCCCCCTAGGAAATACATCCAAATGATGAAAAAGGTTCTTTATTTCAGAAAGACCTTTTTGACACAGACAACTTGAGATCTGAGAGCAACAGAAGCAAGTTTCTTGTATTTACCTTAAGCAAATTGAGGATCTTGACGCAGAGCTCGTAGTCAAAGTTGCCATAGCTGGAGTTGGTCATGTCGTAGATAAATATGAGTCCGTCTCTTTGAGTTTGTGCACTGTTGAACAATGAACAAGAAGAAGAGGGGCCAAAAGAAGCATGCCATAAGTAATACATATCATTTTCTAACATATACTTGAGAGAAAACGTGTGGTGTGTTCACAGCAAACGCCAGTCGAGCGCTAAATTTGCATGACGCTGTGTTGCGAAAGCCTATCAGCGTTGAGATTCTCCTCCTGCAGTCACTGAAAAATATTGTAGCCGTTTGTGGGAACCCAGAGCTCTACGAAAGTACCTCATATTTGTGTATAAATGTATGTGTACAAACCATAGACTATTGTTTATACCATAAACAATAGTGTTGATGAATGTAAGCATAGCCTGGCATCGATTACTCCAAACTCCAACCAGAAGACAAGCATTTTTAAAGTTGTTTGCCTGTAGTCTTGCATCCAGACCCAAGAAAAGCGTGAATTCAGACTTTTTACAAATCAGCATCCTTTTTATCTGTTAACTGCAATGAAATCACGGTAAAATCTGTTTATTTTGGGTTGACACCACTGTAGTAAACCAGCTGAAGTGTTGCTTGCTAGATACAGTGAATACTCCAGATGAAATCCAGACAGGACAATGTTTGGTTTTCTGACGTATCTGGAACTTCCACAACATGTACAAGGCAGCAATAGTGGCTATGTCTGCCATGGTTGACGAAAAGTTGTTTGTCTCTACGTGGCGGTAAGGCCCCTCTGACGCAAATAAACAAAATGAGCCATGTGAGTAGCGCGAGGCGGAAAATTCGCTTTGCTTTTGGTGTGAACCCGGCATTAGAGATCCGGTAATGTTTAGTTGTATGTATGACGATAGGGCATTACCTCTCTATGGCTTTGTCCAGCTGATAGATGATGGCCTGCAGCACAGCTTTGTGGGTGGTGATGTCTGGCCGATGGAGATGAGCCGTGAAGAGCGCTAGAGCGGCGCCCTTTGCATCACGGCCAGGCTGGTGGGGACATGCAACAAATCACCATACATGCAAACTCTAATCAATTGTGCATCCGTTCTTTGGATTTGTGAGAAAGGACGGCTATAAATTCTGATTATGAACGTGCACATTTTCTGGCCATCTTTTACTCCATCTACGTTCATAAAAAGACCGAAGCAGGGATACACGTGCAGACCGATGTACAAAATGACCAGAGTGTGCATCATTTTCTGTGTATCCTGCAGGGTGGCTCACAATTGTATCCGCACTCACCAGGACTGTAAATTTGCCACTCAGCAGCTCGGAGCGTAGGGGCTCCTCGTCAGGGTTGATATTGATGATGCCCTCTTTGATTCTTGTGTTCTGATTTTGATATATGATGAGAGAGACAGGGGAGGGAAGCGGACAGTCATTAGCGTGCAATTTAAAACAGTATGCACAAAAACAGCATCTAAAAATGATTTGACTTTTTAACAATGACGTGCATCATGCTGCAGAAGCATGCTGCTTTCCAGTTTTCAATAAGAGCACTTTTATTGACGAGTTCCAGTTTACTACAGTTTACTACACCTAGAAATAAGCCTGAAGACATTTTTCGCAATTAAAATCCCAAATTGCAATATTAAGAAAAAAAGGTCAGGTCGTAAAAATTGAAATTGAATATCTTCTCTAGATCTTTTAGCCCCAACGAAGACATGAAGGATTCTGTTGATAATAGAAATATTCATCTCCGTTTTGTCACGGATCAAAGCACAGTACCTTGTATGCTTCGAAGAGGTTGGTGGCTCTGTAGACGTCAAACTTGCGGGCCATAAGAAACTTTACAGCTGTGGGTTGGGACACAAGCCCAGCGCTGTGAGGCTGTTCCCTGCTTCGCACCTCACCCAGGAACTCCTCCACAGCCTGGACAAACGAGAGAACGGAGGAGACGGAATGACAAAGATGAGGTGTGACAAAGAACAGAGAGAAGATAGGTCTGACAACTGGAAGACAAAGAAAACGCACGAGTCTCTGAGTTCTCTGCCTGCCAAAGTTACAACAAATGTGTGATGCAGATGGAAGCGGCAGGCTGCGGCCCCTGGACGATGCAGAGGACACTCAAAACGCCAGGAGACAACAGTCGGCTTGTTGTCACCAGGGTGAGAGTCTGTCCTCCAAATATGAAACCAGCACAAGGAGAGTCTATGAATGGGTGCATCGGATTAACTCATCAGCTACGTACAAAACTTTAAATCTACTCTGCTGCGGGACACAGAAGAAGATGCCAAGTGAAAAACTAATCCAAATGCATGGGTTTCCCTATGAATTCTTTGAGAGATGTGAAGATGTGCCCAAACCCTGATGCAGCTTATCTCAGGATCAATTTTTGTTCTTAGATGACGGGTAAACATAGAGACACTCGTTAAGACTATGTCATTCACTGTGGAAATAAATAGCATCCCTGCTCTACTTTTTACCTGAATGTTCCATTTCATAATAGATAGATTTGGTAATATGTTATTTTGTTTATGATGTCAGAAGGAAGGTCTTTATTGAAGGTAGTGTGGCACACTTCCGCATTGTAACACTTTGAGGAAAAACTTACATACATGTGTGGAATGATGTCATCGGCACAAAAATGAGTCTACACAAAAAAAAAAAACTGTATATGTGGTCATGTATCCAGTCACAACACCTGGACTTAAAAGCAATGTGTGATTTAAAGGTACTTAGAAGTTTTGTTACTGCACCACATGTTTTCCTCTGAATTCATGTTGCCAAAACATGTTTGTAAAGCTGCAATAAACTTCTCAGGATTTGGGGCACTATAGCACCCTGGGAAGGTAACCTTTAAATCACAACCCTGACGTTTGGTACCACCAGTGTCTGAAGCCTTTGTCGGGTTAATCCAAGGCAAAGGCAACAAGTCGTTGATTTCAGTAGAGAGCTAAACCTTCAAAAGGTTTGCAACAGCAAATCTGGGAAAGTGATGTCAGCTACCGAGAGACACACGGGCATATCTGGTGAGCAGTAAAGCTACAAGCGTGTCCTGTAAATAAGCATACAGATCAGTTAACCTTGCGAATGCTTCATAGAGATAAAATAAGTAGCTATGTAACGAAGCTGTCATCGCATTTACTGCGTGACATTTGATGTTTGCTATGAAATCCAGGCCGGTGTTACGTCCCTACTGGTTTCTGGACCTACTGGTTTCCCTTCCGTGCGTGTGTTCGCTTAACAGCTGCAGCGGTTTTCTGTCTCTGTCGCCTGATTCGTCACACATTCACAAACATATTGCTGGAGATCTAAAAGACACATCTCATATCAATTGCAGGGATTACGATTGTATAAGTTAGCACTGCATCACAGCCACGTATGAAGAAATACATAGAAGAAAATACATTTATGCAAAGATCGCAACAACCTGGATTCGAACTCTGGCGAGCAAAACAATAAAACCCCTACAGGTGGTCGCGCTACGCACTCCGCCACTTGTACTTGATAATTTAACAGACATTCAGTAATTTAGTCACCAAGTCATACCTCATCAGTGTCCAGGAAAAATTTTGGTTTAGGTTGAACTGAAACAACTGGTTTCCTGGGGCGTATCTTCGAACAAAAACTTAATCACTGCTTTTGATAAGGTGTCCATACACCACCGACGCAATTTGACAAAAACAAATGTACTTTTGTGACGATTATACAGTGACGATTATACACTAAATAATTGCGAACTCTTGTTCGGTCGGTCAGAATACGTTTTGGGGCGCCATGCTTAAAAAATATACAGTGGGTACGGAAAGTATTCAGACCCCTTTAAATTTTTCACTCTTTGTTTCATTGCAGCCATTTGCTAAAATCAAAAAAGTTCATTTTATTGCTTGACAGAAAAAGACAGAAATGTAGAAAATTTTGCAAATTTATTAAAAAAGAAAAACTGAAATATCACAAGGTCATAAGTATTCAGACCCTTTGCTGTGACACTCATATTTAACTCACATGCTGTCCATTTCTTCTGATCCTCCTTGAGATGGTTCTACTCCTCCATTGGAGTCCAGCTGTGTTTAATTAAACTGATTGGACTTGATTAGGAAAGGCACACACCTGTCTATATAAGACCTTACAGCTCACAGTGCATGTCAGAGCAAATGAGAATCATGAGGTCGAAGGAAATGTCCAAGGAGCTCAGAGACAGAATTGTGGCAAGGCACAGATCTGGCCAAGGTTACAAAAGAATTTCTGCAGCACTCAAGGTTCCTAAGAGCACAGTGGCCTCCATAATCCTTAAATGGAAGAAGTTTGGGAAGACCAGAACTCTTCCTAGACCTGGCCGTCCAGCCAAACTGAGCAATCGTGGAAGAAGAGCCTTGGTGAGAGAGGTAAAGAAGAACCCAAAGATCACTGTGGCTGAGCTCCAGAGATGCAGTAGGCAGATGGGAGAAAGTTCCACAAAGTCAACTATCACTGCAGCCCTCCACCAGTCGGGGCTTTATGGCAGAGTGGCCCGACGGAAGCCTCTCCTCAGTGCAAGATATATGAAAGCCCGCATAGAGTTTGCCAAAAAACACATGAAGGACTCCCAGACTATGAGAAATAAGATTCTCTGGTCTGATGAGACCAAGATTGAACTTTTTGGCGTTAATTCTAAGCGGTATGTGTGGAGAAAACCAGGCACTGCTCATCACCTGCCCAATACAATCCCAACAGTGAAACATGGTGGTGGCAGCATCATGCTATGGGGGTGTTTTTCAGCTGCAGGGACAGGACGACTGGTTGCAATTGAAGGAAAGATGAATGCGGCCAAGTACAGAGATATCCTGGAAGAAAACCTCTTCCAGAGTGCTCTGGACCTCAGACTGGGCCGAAGGTTCACCTTCCAACAAGACAATGACCCTAAGCACACAGCTAAAATAACAAAGGAGTGGCTTCGGAACAACTCTGTGACCATTCTTGACTGGCCCAGCCAGAGCCCTGACCTAAACCCAATTGAGCATCTCTGGAGAGACCTGAAAATGGCTGTCCACCAACGTTCACCATCCAACCTGACGGAACTGGAGAGGATCTGCAAGGAAGAATGGCAGAGGATCCCCAAATCCAGGTGTGAAAAACTTGTTGCATCATTCCCAAGAAGACTCATGGCTGTACTAGCTCAAAAGGGTGCTTCTACTCAATACTGAGCAAAGGGTCTGAATACTTATGACCATGTGATATTTCAGTTTTTCTTTTTTAATAAATTTTCAAAAATTTCTACATTTCTGTTTTTTTCTGTCAAGATGGGGTGCTGAGTGTACATTAATGAGAAATAAAATGAACTTTTTTTGATTTTAGCAAATGGCTGCAATGAAACAAAGTGAAAAATTTAAAGGGGTCTGAATACTTTCAGTACCCACTGTATATTATGCACAATGTCACTACTTTACTTTAAGTCTCTTAGTTGTTGGAGGGTAGACTTCTAGCCGCTTTGTGAAGTAGTCCACACACATACGTAACCATTGTTGGTGCATTTCAGCTTGCCAACTAGATCCATCAAGACTAGTCTGAAGGGCTCAGTCACCTTAGAATGCAAACCAAAGATTACACCAACAAGACTTCATACAACATGTTAAATTTAATGTTTATTCACCTCTACGGGTTAAACTGAATTGTCTCCATCATAGAGGTCCTGTTTTTCTGGCAGGCATCACATTGGGCAATCTGACCAACCGTGGCAAAGAATTTGTCAACAAAGTAAGTTGATTTCGGAGACAAGAGTTCGCAATTATTTAGTGTATTTTGAAAGTACGATCGTCGCTCTAATCGTCCAAAAATACATTTGTTTTCGTCAAAATGCGTTGGTGGTGTATGGTCGAAGCCTCGCGAAAAAGCATTGATGAATATGTTTGTAAGTGTTCGGATAGATGCCAGAGTAAGTGGCGGACCGCGTAGCGCGACCGTCTTTGGGTTTGTTGTTATTTTGCTCGCCAGAGTTCGAATCCAGGTTGTTGCGATCTTTGCATAAATGTATTTTCTTCTATGTATTTCTTCATACGTGGCTGTGATGCAGTGCTAACTTATACAATCGTAATCCCTGCAATTGATATGAGATGTGTCTTTTAGATCTCCAGCAATATGTTTGTGAATGTGTGACGAATCAGGCGACAGAGACAGAAAACCGCTGCAGCTGTTAAGCGAACACACGCACGGAAGGGAAACCAGTAGGTCCAGAAACCAGTAGGGACGTAACACCGGCCCCCTTTACTAGAAAGTGATGGCAACAACAATGTCAGGAACCGGAGGATCACTTCTGTGAATTCTCGACCGTAAATCTGATAACGTTAGGCAGAGCACTACGAGCTAACCAGCTAGTTGGCTCACAGCAAACACTCCCGTTGTCCGTCTTAACCGTGTCATGGTACATAATGACAATAAACACTGAAGGTAATCCGTGTTTGGTCGTTTTTAATCTTCACACTTTGATCAATATGACTTTAAACGCGTAGAAAGACAGCTGTCGAGGAAATTCCCTGCAAGTCAACAATAGCTATTAGCATTAGCTAGCAGCTAGGTTACATGTGGCAGCTGGATGGCTAACGATACCGTTTAAGACACGAGCAGCCACATGCATGGGGCAAACATAGGGACCTTAGTGTCGCTACTTGACATTAGCGACATGAACATATCTATATGGTCTACGTAAAGCTGGGTTATCAGGGAAGCGAGTGTTTGTGGCACACAGCCGGTTAAGTGATCCTTACTACTGCTAGCAAACGCCATCATGCTAACACACATGCTAACTGCTGTCAGTCACACCAGAGTCAGTCGGCTCGGGAGGGTGCAAACGGGCCAGGGCTGTTTACTAGACCATGTCGTTCCGAGGGACGTTCACCGTGACAAAACATACGGAAAAAATCCCCGGTGAGAGAAGAACTGAAGGTAACACGTGTACACACTAAACATGACGGGGAGATGAGGAAAAAAATCCGTAAAGAGACCCTTACCAGCTGCTCCTGAGTTGTCAGGGCTTCCGCCATCTTGAAGCCTCCGCAACGTCGCAGCGGGCGCGCCCACCAGCCGCTCAGTCACGTGACACCCCGAGACTGCCCATAAGCATTCATATGAAGGCAGATTTTACCACCGAGAATAGAAAATCTGCGTTTATCAATGCTGCTACTGACAATTCATAAACTGTAGGCTATTTGTCCATACATATACCCATTTGATTGATAAACTGAATCAGAATAATTGACTGACCACATACAGTTCAAAATCTTTATTGTATTTAAATACTTTCAAAAAATATATGTTTCATCTACTTTACTACCTATTCGCTTTTTTCTTAAACGTGTATTTCATTTAACCATAAACATGTTTTCATCCAAACGTATATTTAAAAGACTGTCTATTCAATATCACTAGAAGAATGATCAACATTATTATTCCTGTTGCTAGTCGTCGCTACAGTAGTGCGCCGGTCCTTCATGGGAACGTTTGCATGCGAGCATTTGTTTCGTCGGACTGTTTTTTGTGGAGCACCGGGGCGGAACTTCGGCGGACTTTTTGATTTCACGTTTGTTCGGCGCTCAACCCATCCGCCCAACAGGAAGACTGCGTTGTTTATACTTCGCAACCAAAATAATGAATCCTACTGCGACGCTTGTTTTGGCTCAACCGCTTCCTTACCTGTAACACACACTGTTACATTTAGTTTGTAAACTTGTGTCACGAGTCAAACTGATGTCATGTCAATGAACATCCACCTACTCACCCGTGTGACAGAAACAGTACATCTTCTTCAGCATGAGCACCTCGGGTCCTCCCTTGAAAAAGAAAAGCTACATGGGGCAGCACCAGATCAAGAAGAAAAAATGGTAAGTTTATCCCACGGTTTCACCTAATTACTAATGTTGACAGATTTACAAGAATCATGACCAAATTCCTCCTGTTGCCTAGAGACACCCTCCAATCTTTGTAGCATTTCTATAGATGAACCTTCAGACAGAACTTTTTTTTTTCTGAGCACAGTTTCCAAGCTCCCGATGAGCCACCAGACGGAGGCAGACTGTTGCAGAAAACCCATTTCATATCAGGCCAAGCAAACATGATTAGGGACAGCCTCGTGGTGAGTGGGACAGCTTGAGAGAGAGAGAGAGTTTTTCTCCTACTCCTGTCATCTCTGATTCTCTTCCACATCCACCTGGATCACCAATGGCATGTATTAATCTCCAAATTCAGGATGGAGGAGCAGTGCTTCCGCTGGGAGAATCCACATTGGCTCTTGATGAAGAAATGCTGCAGGTGTTGGATGCTGTAGACCCAGTGAAGCCTGCAGCCGACAATGTGCGTCCAACAACGGTACACGGGGGTGCACGGGGAGAGCCGGCTTCATCAGCTGTCTTTGGCCCCCCGCGGGCTGACAGAGACCCCAGCGCCCAGGAGGGAGTCCGGGGCCGTGGGGGCGATCGTGAGCGGCCAGGGTGGCGAGCCGACTGCAAAGACCTTGCACAGAAGCTTCTCTTCGGTGAGGACTCTGAGGAAGCGGAGCATGCTCTGAGGGGCCCGGAGAACATGCAGCCACCACCGGCTTCCTCCTGCATCAATGCACTATACTGTCAGGATATCAGAAACGGTCAGCAAGTAGGCAGCTCCAGCAAGTGAGTCTTAACTTGCACGTTATTGCCCAGTTTTTCTCCTGTGTTTGACTGTCCGCTGCTGTTGTTCTCTGTTAACAAATGTTTTTCTTACTTTGTGCGTCTCAGCAGGCAGATGCTTCCACCCGGAAGAAAAGGCTCTCCACCTAGCGAGGACAAAAGCGGGTCAAACGTGAACGCTGATCCACCTCTGGATGTATCCAGGGACTACGTCTTGTTCAGCCCCACCCGCCTCGCAGCCGCCATGAAGAGGGCCAAACTCCAGCCATCATTCCAGAATCAGTCCGCCTCTGTGCTCGCAGTCCCCAGTGGTTTAGACCTGAGTACTCTCAGCGAGACTCTGCCTCAGCAAGGTGACGTCCATTTGTGAAGACCTTCTTAAAGGTTCAAATTTTCTGCAATCGTTGTTGTTTTTGTGTGTCGCTGACCCCTTTGACACCTTGTCATGGCTTAATAAACCTGCTGGAAAATGAGCTGCTGGGCCCCCTTTTAGACCCCCTTTCCTGCCACACGCTGTGCTTTAGGGCTGTCCCCCTTTTTACATTCAAACTTTGAAACTTTGAATGTATCTTGTCATACCTTAGACTTTATTTTGAGTTATTGTGGTTGTATTAATGTAATTTATGGTGCTGCTAGATGGCCCAGGTAATTTAGAGTAAACTTTTTTTTAATATTTTTTATTTTACTTCATGTTGTTTTTGAATGGCTAAACGCCAACAAATATGGATTGAAGCAGAATAGATTGTTAGATAACAACATATTGGGAATTTTTTAAATAATTACATCTATCTTTTTTCCCCCTAAATATTGACTTTTGGACTGAGGACAGATAATTCCAGAGACGAGGAACACCACTTGGGCTTTTAATTCTATTTGGTAATTCATTAAAAAATTTAATTTACGAATTTGCAACATGATAAACTGATAACTTCAAATTAAACCTTCAAATTAAACTTGATACAAGGAGGAAAAATAAACATTTTAGTGCGGTGCAAGATTTGAAAGAAGCTTCGAGCTTTTGGGGCCCCGGGCCAGTTAAGCAGCCTTTAACCTTGTATGAACGTATCTCTGGTCTAGTTATGTTTCATTTACTGGATTACATTTATATCTGATGTTGGATTGTATCTCTGATGTACTCCCTGAAATACCATTTCTCTTTCCCATGTCAAATCCACTTTGCTGTGCTCAAAATATATGTCGCAGAACTTAAGACTCCTCCCACCAGTTTGACTGAACACCATGTGTAAGGTATTTTTTTAAATGCCTACTGTAGGCATTGCCTTGTGTGCTCCCACAGGGCAAGCCGAAAAGCTACTGCTATGCAACTGGGGCTTACCAAAACCTGTCCTGGAGCGCTACCAGAAACACGGCGTGATTCGCATGTTCGAATGGCAGGCTCAGTGCCTCGCTGTCGGACAGGTGCTGCAGGGAGGTAACCTGGTCTACTCTGGTAAGAAGCCGAACTCCTCTCTACGAAGTGATTCACCGAGTCGGTCGCTGTTTTCGGCTTTTTAAATTCCTTTCTTTTCCAGCCCCCACGAGTGCTGGAAAAACTCTGGTGTCGGAGCTGCTGATGTTGAAACGTGTGTTGGAGACTAAAAGAAAAGCCCTCTACATTCTGCCGTTTGTCTCTGTGGCTAAAGAGAAGATGCATTACCTTCAGGTGAGGAAGAGAACCGTACATGCATGTGCTTCTGGGCGCTGTGTTGATTGTTTGCGTATGTATCTCCATGTAACCGACCTGTATCTGTGAACCCTGCAGAGTGTATTTCAAGAGGCAGGAGTTCGTGTGGAGGGATACATGGGCAGCACCTCGGCCGCTGGAGGATTCACAGTGCTGGATGTGGCTGTGTGCACCATAGAAAAAGCCAATTCTCTCATTAACAAACTCATTGAGGAGGACAACATGGGTCTACTAGGTAACACACCGGGGATAACTGTGTGTTTTCTTGATTGTTAAACATAGAGTTTGAGTTATTTTTGTACTTCTGTAGGTATGGTGGTGGTGGATGAGTTACATATGGTTGGTGATTCTGGAAGAGGATATCTACTAGAACTGCTCTTAACCAAAATCCGCTACATTGCGCAGAAGCAGAACGCCACTGGGTTTGTGTACTTTTGTCTTTTTTCGACTTTTATTTTGCGTAACAGCTAGCGTTTGAAAAAAAAAATAAATAAATCCTGTCCTTCTACTACACGCGTTAAGAAGTCTGTCCGTGCAACAACACCTTTCTGCAGGTCTCTCTTTGAGGGCGTACAGATCATAGGTATGAGCGCCACCTTGCCTAACCTTGCCCTCCTGGCCGGCTGGTTGGGTGCAGAGCTTTACCAGACGGACTACAGGCCTGTGCCCCTGCACGAGCATCTCAAGGTGGGCTGCAACATCTACAACAAGAGCCTCGCTGTGGTCCGGCGGTTCGCTCCTGCGCTCCACGTTAAGGTAACCAAGAGAGTGGGTCAGTTATCGTCCAATGTGCACGTTTGATCCTTTTAGACAAGTAATACAATCATGTGCATGTGGTGACTCATTAAGGGCGACGATGACCACATAGTGAGCTTGTGCTATGAGACCGTGAGCGAAGGCCGCTCTGTGCTGCTGTTCTGCCCCTCGAAGAACTGGTGTGAGAAACTGGCGGACAGCATCGCCAGAGAGTTCTACAACCTCAGACATACCGGTATTGTGCACACTACATTTTAACAATGAGGTTAAATCCCAACTGTAGCGCGTTGTAAGGATTGTTGTAGATTCTGGTCTCATCCTTTCAGATCGTCAGGGCGAAGCAGAGCCTAAGCTGGTGTGTCTGGATCGGGAGGGACTGGTGGATGTCGTAGCCCAGTTGAGACGAACTCCAGCTGGTTTGGACCCCATCCTCCAGCGAACTGTGCCGTGGGGGGTGGCCTTCCACCACGCCGGTGAACACACTCGCACAACTTCTCAACCGCAACTAACAGCGTCCTGAATGTTTCTTTTTTTTTGTGGGCATGCGAATAAGATAAAGTTTGTTTCTGCAGGTTTGACATTTGATGAGCGCGACGTGTTGGAGGGAGCTTTTCGTCAGGGCATGGTCAGAGTCCTGGCCGCCACCTCGACCCTCTCCTCGGGGGTTAATCTCCCGGCTCGCAGGGTCATCGTGCGAACCCCTATCTTCAATGGACACCTGTTGGACCCGCTCACGTACAAACAGATGGCAGGACGGGCGGGGAGAAAAGGAGTGGACACTATAGGTATGAAGGGAAGAAGGGGGCAAAAAAAACAAAACGTTTTGTATTGTCTGTTCATTCTTATTCCAGTTGCTTGGAAACAAAACGTGATCAACAATCTTCTGTGATAATACTCAAGCAAATTTAAGTTGAAAAATTGGCCTCAAGTCATTTTGTTCATCCTCTTCTCAGGTGAGAGTGTGCTGGTGTGTAAGGAGGCGGAGCGTCAGAAAGGTATCACTCTCCTTAAGGGTGTTCTTCAGCCAATCAGCAGCTGCCTGGTGAGAAGGGAGGGCGAAGGCGTCACCACCAGCATGCTGCGAGCCATCCTAGAGGTATGGCCGATATCCAAATGAACTTGGCACTCATCAAAATGACTTCCAGTCCGTAAATAGATCATGTTCTAATTCCCTCTTTAATAATAGATGTCTCTTTTTAGGGAGGCCTTCGATGTAAGGTCAGATTAGTTTCCCTCTATTATTGTTTCATGACTCTAATTTGAATCATCCCAACATGCAGATCATTGTCGGAGGTGTGGCCAGCACTCCACAGGATGTGCGGTCATATGCTTTGTGCTCACTACTGGCTGCCAGCATGAAATGTGACGGCAAAAAATCAAACGAAGAGAATAACAAAGGAGCTATTGAGGCCTGTGTTGAATGGCTGATGGAGAACGAATTCATCAGTATCCAGATGGACGGACAAGGTACTGCCAGTGCGGTCTCGATATCATGACATACAGTGAAAATGGATTTTTAGGTACAAATTGAACCGCTGCAACAAAAGTGTTTTTACTTAAATGTCTCTTATTGTAAAAAGTAAGGTTTTCGCATCTTTTAATTACAAAACAGGTGTGAGTGCGTTTTCGATACTGTGGAAGTACCCAAACATTCAATCCATGGAGAAATACACCCGTATTCAGACACTGTGCCTTTAAATGATGTCACAACTATACAATACAGAGACAGCTTCACAATTTCAGAACGTAAACATTTTAAATGTGTCCGCGTTGTGAATGACGTCAGCCGACAGGGAGTAAAACATGGACCAAACATAATTCCATTGAAACGCGCTAAAACGGAGCGTTTTCAGACAGAGGGTGTTTCAAGGTTTATTCAGCATGAGAAAAATAAAGTTAACAGTTAAATATGTTCTAGTAGAAACCCAAAATACGAGTACAAACCTGACAATGAGCACACTATGTCTCCTTTAATTCAGATTGGAACAAGTTTTGAAGAGCAATGCAAGCATTTTCCGTATTCATGCATCATATATTTCACTATAAAGTATACAAGCCAGACTATAAGCTTAACCTCCTGTGCATTTACAATAACTATTGTTATATCCTGATGTCTTTGCCTATCCAGAGGAGCGGTACCGTCCGACTCAACTCGGAGCTGCCACCCTGTCCTCGTCCCTCTCCCCTCCCGAGGCTCTGGGAATATTTGCAGATCTCCAGCGGGCCATGAAGGGCTTTGTGCTGGAAAATGACTTGCACATTCTCTATCTGGTACACGTACACACCTCTTGCATCATTATTTGCTTCAACAAAGTTTCTGTCATCTTTAATCACTCCCTATCATCTCCGAACCCTCGCCCAATGCATTCCTAATAGTAACTAAATAAACCAAAAATGTCCCCTCCTCGAACACACGGTATTTCAAATTCTACGCGCAAATTCCCCTCCAGATCACCCCCTTGTACGCGGAGTGGACCACCATAGACTGGTACCAGTTCTTCTGTCTGTGGGAACAGCTATCGTCGTCGATGAAGAGAGTAGCGGAGCTGGTGGGTGTGCAGGAAGGTTTCCTCGCCAGATCTGTCGGCGGCAAACTCGTCGCCAAGACAGAGAAGCAGCGTAGACAGATGGCTATTCACAAACGGTAATGCCCATATTTGTGTCAATTACACTTTATTCATATCATAGCATTGGCAAATAGTCCCCTCGTGTGGGTTTCTGTTCGTAAAGGAACCCAAAATATGATAATTGTAATTGCTAACTTGTAAATAATTACCATATATACAACTAAATTAAAGTCCCGGTTTCACACTTCTGTGTGCTAGTATGCCAGAATTCAAGTAGTAGAACAATTAAGGGATCCATAAAGCCTTTGTGAAGCTGATAATGTTCAGTTTTGGTGGGATGTAACAACTAGCTACTGAATATTATATTTTATATATACTTATAGTGTATATATAAACCTATATGTACTAGTTTATGGATGTTTTTTTCATGATTTTATTGTGTCCTCTTCCTTCATTCCCAAAATTGTGGCTATTTGGATAAAAAGGTGACTCGGAACGCAAACCACTCAAGGATTTATCCCCTGAGAGTCAAACAACAAATACAATGTTTAGGAATGTTTTTCTTCACGTAGGACTCTTGTCCTCTCCACATTCTCTCCTCCCAGGTTTTTCACCACCCTTGTGCTGCAGGATCTGGTGAACGAGGTGCCTCTGGGAACGGTGGCATCCAAATACAACTGCAATCGTGGGCAGCTGCAGTCCCTCCAGCAGTCTGCTTCTACTTATGCAGGTATGAGCCGAGGAGTGCTGCTGAGCGTCTCCAAGGATGTGGAATACGCCGACTCTGACTTCCACGACTTAAGACTTTACATTAAAAAGGGAAGGCAGTAACTAGACTAGCACTCTAGACTGGACGGATGTACAGCATGGAGCCATGTAAAGTGCTCACGCTTCTTTCATCAAGTTACTTTGAGAGGGTTTAAGAGGTCCGGATGTAATTCAGACTCGGAGGGTGTGTGCTTAAATGTAGCACAGAACAAGTTTGTCTGGGTGTGACTATATGTCATGCTAATTATGGGGTTCATTATCAGTGTAAACACAAAAGGGAACCCAAAGGAAAGTAGAATCAAATAGCACCACATTGGTAATTCAGTGCCTCTAGATCATGGACAGAATCACTCTGACCTTGCTGCAACCCCGTCAGGTATGGTGACGGTGTTCTGCAAGCGTCTGGGATGGCACAACATGGAGCTGCTGCTCTCCCAGTACCAGACCAGGCTGAGCTTCGGAGTCCAGAGGGAGCTGGTCGACCTCGTCAGGGTCTCCCTGCTGAACGCAACACGAGCCAGAGCGGTGTACGCTCAGGGCCTCTGCACCGTCGCTGAACTGGCCCGGGCTACTGTGGCTGATGTGGAGAAAGCCCTGAGGAACGCTGTCCCATTTAAGAGGTAGCTGTGTGTTTGTCTGCAGCATGAAGATGATTAATGCGTGTTCGGTAAAGGAGGATGTGAGTCTCTTTGCAGCACACAGGCTGTTTCAAGTGGAGTGCCAGCAGCACTTAGTTTGATTCCACTCTCAGTTTCCACACATTAGCAAGACTGTTTTCTACGATGAAGTAAACAAGTTATAACTAAAAGCTACCCTGTCCCGATCACGTACAACCCATACACCTGAATTGATTTTGTTTAGTCTTTTAACTAATATTCAGTTCGTTCTAGCTGCCCTCATTCTGTCCGTTATTATATAATATATAGATTATACAGTATATATAGATATTACAATTTTTAAGTAATGTAATTTGTGATGTATATTTATATAAAAACATATTAAATTAAATAAAACTATAAAAATGTGTTGTTATCATAGACCTAAATCAAGAGGTTTCTCATTTGAATATATATATGTGTTTGGATTGTGCATTACTCTTAACAACACTACCATAAAAATACCAGCCTCCTTTATTTAAAAAAAATAATTCAAGGAGATAGACGCAGGTATGTTCCCGTAAACTCCTCTTAAACCCTAAGCATGGATAAATGATGTGCAACTGTACCATCAGCACATCAAGCCATAATCTACTTGAAACATGACTCCAGACATAAAGCCAATGATGCACTTATCTGTCTGTCTCAGCTCGAAGCGCGCAGTGGACGAGAGCGAGATGGAGGCGGCCGAGAGACGGAGCCTCTGCTGCGTCTGGGTCACCGGCGGCCGGGCCCTAACGGAACAGGAGGCCGCCGTTGAGATCGTGTCTGAGGCGAGGCTCCTCCTTCGGGAAGACCTGGCCCAGTTAGGAGTTCAGTGGGACCCGACGACTCTTCCTCCGGGGGCTCCTGCTACGAACAGCGCCGACGGTTCAGACACCTCAGCGGCATCGCATCTCAGCTCACATGAAGCACAGGTCGACAACAATAAAAATCATCAGGAAGGAGACAGAGTCAAGGGAAGTGAGGGTAGAGATACCGACGAGAAGGTGGAGGAATATAAACCTGAGAAAGGGATGTCTGAAAAGAAAATGGAGAAAGCAGAAGGAGACGCCTACAGAGACCAAAATAACTCCAGAAATGTAGACCGGACGGAGCCAGAACTCAGACAAACGGGAAATGTAGTGCAAGTGGAGAGAAGCAAAGCAACAAAACATTGGGAGCCAAATAAAAAATCAATTATGGGAAATTACTCAGAAGATCCAGATGAAAAAAGAGAAGAGCATGTGAGGTCAAAGCAAGGAGGGGAAGAGAGCGAGAAAGTGGAGCCGAAAGAAGGGGAGACAAGTAAAGAGGTCGTCTCAGTCGGACCGGAGACTTATCGAGCGAATCGTCCTGTTCCTGAAAGGAGCCTGACACAGGAGTTGGCCGACATCGTGTCTAGCCCCCTGTTTCGCCCAGTGGTGCGTCCTCAGCCCTCTCCTCCCCCGATGCCTCCCCCCCGCTTTAGAGCTTCGGTATCCAGAGCAGAAGAACAACACCGAGTTCCTACAAGGACATCGGACGTAGATGGTGCCACAGGGTTCGCTGAGTCACCCGTGCAACCCGGAAGACTGAAGCACTCGAGAGCCTTAAGCAAAGTCCTCCACTCTATACAAACTGACAAAAGCCTACAAGATCATGTAGAACCCTCGGTGGTTCCCTCAGTCCAAAATCCAGTGCCTGCAGGCCAGGTGCCTACAGCCGTTCGAGCTCCTGAAGAAACCCCTCCCGTTGTTTCCGCGCCCACAAATGCAGATATGTTGGACTCCCCCCGGACCACCACTCCTTCCTCCGTTCCATTGTTCTCACCCGAGGCGAAGCGACGGAGGATGAACGGCAGAGAGGCGGATAAGTTCTCGTCTCCCGAGCTGTATGCGGGGGACGAAGAAGAAGCCGAGGGACTTGTTAAAAGAGGAGAAGAGAGTTTCGGCGACAGCGTTGAACTGGACACCCAGACAGAGAGACTCATCGTTCAACAGGCATGCCAACGCAGAGATGGGAACGATGGGAATCGGCTGGTAGAATCAAAGAAGAAAAGGGAGGAGGAAATGGTAGACGCAGCTGTAGAGAAGGAGACACTTCAGAAAAGTAACGCATGTCCCAGATTTGATATTTCTCTCACAGACAGCCAGATGGAGCTCATCCTTGACACCAGCCACCAGGTGAGTGACCAGAATCCTCCATTATTTTTTGATTGTATAAATGCATTCAAGCAGTTTGTCTCTTAAAAGTCAAAATGTTTACAGATTTCTCCAGGTCCAGGTGGGGATAATGTAGTTGAAGGCGGTGACGAGGACGCCAACCCGGCTGCCTCCGAGAGCATCAACAGAAGCAGCAGCTTCCTGTTCGACAGCCTGTACGACAGCTCCCTGCTGGCCGGTCTGAGCCCGCCGCGGATCCCCGGCCAATCGGACGAAGAGGAGGAGTTCGTCGGCCGGGAGGTTGGAGGTCCCCCTCCATCGAGCCAGGAGCGAAGGCGCAGTGAGCTCCTCGCCAACCAGGAGGCGGAGAAGCAGGAGGCCGTCCAGTGGGGCGAGTCCTCCTTCAACCTGTCCGAGTGGGGTGACTCGCTGCTGGTGGGCGAGCACTTTATGGAGAGGCAGAGCTTGCTCAGACACACGGAGAGAACTCATGAAGCTCAGCGACCCAACGGCGAGCACGTTCAGACCGAGGAACAGCTGTCAGAGTCACAACCCAAACCCAGGCAGATACAGCCACAACCCACCACTACAACCACAACTCAAAATGAGTACGACCAGGACAAAGCCAGCAAGAATCAAGGCCTTGCACACACAACTAAACAGCACAGTAACGCACAAAATGGCAGTAAACCAGGCGGGAGACAGGAAATGATGAATGAAGAGGGTGACAATGGGAAACAAGTAAAGACAAAAGAGGAAATGAATGCTTTGCTGTCACCTAATGCAGTCTTAAAACACCCGCAAGTCCAGAACGCAACCGAAAGCTCTTTTTATTGCAGCCCTGGTTTGCAAGAGATCTTTGACCGCTGGCCTAGTATGTCTGACCAGCCCTGGCTGAACACCTCAACGGGCCATGGAGCCTGCAAAAACACTGCAAATACAGCAGACGTTCCAGATCGACCTCAGCACTCGATGCAGGTGGACAGAGATGGGGCGAGGTCGAACATGCAGGCTGTCGCTGCGGGGAGCCATTCTCCAGAGGAACAACACGACCTTGAGAATGTAACGGAGAGACTGGGCTCTGCTGGCGATCTCATTCCCCCGACTCAGGAAATGCCGCCCGTCACCCCCAGAGTAAAACTGACCACCTCATCCGTCCGGTCACCTCTCATCGCTCAGCCACTCGACCGGTCGACTCCCTCAGCCCTCCTGCGGAAGAAACCGGCAATCGCAAAATGCCCCGGATCTCCCCCAGGACACGGCAATCCTCCATCAGATGCTGTCGCTCACACCAAGCAGCTGGATTCCACGTCGGATCGCAACGACAAACGCCAGCCGGGTTCAAAAACGAAACCCCATCCGCACGCCAGCCGGAGCCTTAGCCCTCCACAAGACCACGCATCTCCATCCCCCACCCGGCAGAAGCTTCCCTCTGATGCAGAATCGCCTGGGGCTGGAGTATTTACTCTTCAGCTGTCCCAGGATGCATCGCTCTCCCCCAGCAGCTCGGGCACGTTCTCCATCATTGACGTGGCGAGTGACAGGCGCCTCTTCGACGCTTTTATTAACGAGTGGAAGACAAAGGAGCGCTACTCTCTGGCTTTGGCCTGTGAAAAGAGGGAACACAGTCAGCAGGTGGAGGAGCAAATAGGAGGAAAACACAAGAGATGTAACAGATAATGAACATGTACACAAGTGACATGACACATAAGCAAAGCCCGTGTTGTATGCTGCCCCCTCTCTAATGCACGTGTTTTCTGTGCAGCGTCAGCAGCTCACCAGAAGCTCCACAGGGCCGACGGTTTTCCGGTAAGAGACAGCGATGGACTGGTGTTGATCGGACTGTCTGTCTGCTGGGGAGCAAGAGACGCGTACTACATGTCTCTGCAGCAAGAGCAGAGCAAAGGTACGGACATACGTGAATGCACATTCATGCATTCAAGCACATATCGCACGCACAAGCTCACTCCAAAAAGTGTTACCCCGTCAGGTTTGAGCTCCAGTCTGGCCCCTCCCCCGCTGGACGTCGACTTGCGAGTAAGCGAGAGGCTGCGGCAGGCGAAGAACTGTCTGACGCGGCCAGCGGCCGCTCACAGAGGGGGCGTGGTTATCGCCTATGACATCATCGAGGTGTACAAGAGGCTAGTGCTGAGCTGCGGCGTCGGCTTAGAGGGAAACTGCGAGGATCCGAAGGTGAGAGAAACGACGCGTGCGTACTCGCACAGCACGTAGATAGAAACTTGCATCATAATTATGAGCCAGCTGTTGGTGACATTCTCACCCATTTCTGCCTTTGTTGACTCTTTTCTACATTTTCTACAAAAACTTTCACCATCAGAATAATTAAAATGGTGTTCGAATCACGTAAAAAATCCACACATAGGGACTTTAAAATTGAACATGCAACAGAAATGGAGAAAATATCTAATGTTTTTTGTTTTAGCCGACTCTGTGTTGAATGTCCGCCGTAGGTTGCATGCTGGATGGTGGACCCTGGCAGCGAGGAGAGGACTCTACCCAACATGGTGACTGTCTACTGTCCTGAGGAGTTGCCTCTGCTGGACGGACTTGGGAACGCACACGCACACTGCCCACGCGTTAGGGCGGCGACCAAGAGCGTGCTCGTGCACTCCGTCATGAACCACCTCAGTGGCCTGCTGGAGAAGGACGGCATGTTTGGTAGAAGAGCAGACACTCTGAACGGACGTTCACAGAAGATTCCTACAGTGGTAAGAGCTGCGGTAAGCATGATGATGGTAACGGGTTTGCATACATGTTGTCAGGTTTATTCCGGAGCGTCGAGATGCCCTCCCAGGTGTCTTTGGCGGTGTTGGAGCTGAACGGATTGGGCTTCAGCGTCCAAGAGTGCGAAAGACAAAAACACGTGATGCAAGCCAAACTCGCAGCGCTGGAGTCCCAGGCGTACGACCTGGCCGGACACAGCTTCTCCCTCACCAGCGTCGACGACGTAGCACAGGTACGACAACGTTTCAATTTCCAAATTCCCAGAGAAAAATAGTAATCCTCACTATTTTAAGTCTAATGTGGGCTGACGCTGTACTGTAGGTGTTGTTCTTAGAGCTACACCTGCCTCCAAACGGTGACGTGGGCGGACCGAAAAGTAAGAAGACTCTTGGCTACACCAGGAGAGGAGCGGGCGGCCGAGTACGACTCGGCAAGCAGTTCAGCACCACCAAGGTAAAATGACTTTGCGTTGCTGGTGATTCATCGTCTTTCGAAGGAATCGTATCGCGAGGAAATCACATACATCGAGATATCCTAATACACAATTGCGTAGGGAGATTGATAATAACGAGCACATGCTAACTGAAATATATTAGAAAATCTAATGTAAAGTATATTGACGGAAGATTTCGCTTTTGTTTTTACATCACACTATCACTCAGATCAATGCGATTACAAAGCTGGACTCCAACTGACAACATTTATGGCACAAGCATCTCCACCCTTTAAGCTCCATTACCATACAACAGCGCTTACTCATCAGGGCAGGGTTCTCGCTGCATAAGAATGGTGGGGAATAATGTTTAAAGGTCCACTTGGAAACCAAATAGATCAGATGTGGGCAGCATTTTCTTTCTCCATTCATTCATTCAGCTTTGTTGTTCACCTCCTGCGTGCCTACACCCAAATATTCTGCTCATGGGAATACCCCTTTGTTATTAAATCAAAATTCATCAGATTACTCTGTGCGCATGCATGTAAACATATTCTGTACAGCTGGAAATATTTAGTAATTTTTCTCTGTAATTTTACTAGAAACTGTTCGTTTTGCACTAAAGTTCTTAATTAAATGAGAAAAGACTCTTTTCATTGTTGCGTATTTAATTAAAACTGGAGTTTACAAAAATAGGCTTTACCATGTGGTTATTTCATTTAGACAGAAAACATGCTATATTGTGATATATATATATATATATA